ATGTATTGGAAACGGTGTAGTGGCAGTAATTTACAGAGAAACCATGACAAAACGGGTGGATGGCGGCGATTCATCAGAGGGATGTCGTCCAGGAAGCGGCAACCGCATTCCCTGAGAACGGTGAGCTTGACGGGTTACTGTTTAGACTATTTTGTCATCGCGTGGAAGAAAGAGCTAATCGTTAGTTGAGGTTTTTTCGAGGTCGCATTTGTGACTCTTTGATGGGGTGTCGCGTTAGTGGAAGAAATATGCTGAATTGAGTGGCGATCTATGAAATTTACTGTTCCGAGAACTTCATATACCTATTACCCCTGCCTTTCAATACCCGGTGCCCCAACGAGCGCTTTTCCCTGAAATGGCGGTGTAATTCACCGCGCGGACGAAGAGCGCGATTGCTGCGCTCCGTGTTCTCATTTAGGGAGGATTCCATGATAAAGTAGGAGGTCGCAGAAGGGGAAATATGCTACCTAGTTGGGGTGCACGGTGCAGGCTCCCTAAAGGTGCGGACCGATGCGTCGCAGGTGCCCCAGCAGCCTACCCGCACTGCTGCCCGCCCACCCCTCTCCTTCTTACTCTGGCTGTAACGGAGAGAATGTTAGCGTTAAGAGGTCAGAGTCGATGAGAGTGCAGCAACATGGTAATCAAGGGCAAAGAAGTGATCCCACCTCTCCGGTTCTGGCCGTTTCTCACAGTATTTTCTTCATCCCTGCATCGCTGACTACCTCTGTCTTGACTTCTAATGGGCTGCTTTCTCGTCGTAAAGCCCCGCTTTTAACACTCGCAGGTTCAAGCAAAGTGTGCAGCACATAGTCCTGCGTGCGGTGCCACCGTTATGGGTTACACTTGAAGCGCTGAAGTTTCGTTAGGGATCTCTTACCCTTGTGAAGTCGGCCATGGTACGAAGGAGAGACAAGCGCGAAGAGGAGAGTAAGGCGAGAGATCACGTCTTAGGAGAGGGCGCATACATCTAGCGTGCCGCGAATGATAGGAATGTCTTGCGGCTGCAGCCATTAAGGGGAGGCATTAGCGCTCTTGTCACGCACTTTCGAGTCGCGACAATGCATGAACTCAGCAACCGCATTCACGGAGAGGATTTCTCTGAGGGTCTGATTATGACCCTTACCTTCAAGAAAGATATGCTTGAAACTGGTTTTCATGGTCCGATCGCTTGTCTCAGTGCGACCTGAACATACGCGCTGGACCGTGTCGGGGTACCGGTAATGAATTACCAATAACTGATCCAAAGGATACGGCTCAGAAGGCAAATCCTGCTTTATCAACTAGGTGTTCTTATTTTTAGGTGCTTCTCAGCATCGTCGTCATTGGATCCGTGGCCTTCACATGGGCGATGTCGACACAGTTCAGCAAGACAGCACTCATTATCGATCCGGTAGGTTATTTTACAACGTGACCCTGTCGGTAATTTTGGAGGTACTAGGGTACTCGGATAAAGGGTGGAAAATACGGAATCGATTAATATGTTTTTGGAATGCGCCATGCATCCCACTTCTGTCCAGAACCCCAATGTTACTGGAAACCTGTTTGGTTTAAACATTGACTTGCCGGGGTTGAGAGACATGATACAGCATTTTTACGCAATCAAATGCCGCTGCAATTGTAAGTAAATTTCGGGCTCATGGCGCATTTCGGAAAATATGATTGATGCTGAATATATCGTCCTTTGTTGAACTCTTTAAAAAAGTTCAATTTTTGCTTCAGACTCATTTCTACGCCCCCTACACAATGATGTGGTTCAACACAAATTTCATGATGCTCTGCTATCCGGCCTTTTTAGGCTTTGAAATTATCAGTCGGAGGAATTGGCGCAAGGCCCACGTGTAAGGGTAAATTCCAACCGTATTCCTGCAGTACTCAACAGGAACCTCGGCACATCCTCACGGTGCCTGATTTTCAGGGATGCGTCGTCAATTTTTGGTGATCGAGGTGTGCATCCACTATCACTGGTGACTACCGTATCACCGTTCCTCAATATTTTGGATCGGGGCCAACTACGCATATTCCGCCTCGTTACTGTACATATCGGCAAGCGTGGCGACGTCGATTTCGTCCTGTAATGCCGCAATGGTCTACCTCCTTGCTGTACTGATTCTGCACGACAAGTTCGTTCCTATGAAGGTACTGCACCATCCTGAGAACGCATTCGATCTGTGCTGTACTTACGGCTGTTCTGTTAAGGTGCTTTCGGTCGTCATGGCCGTCGGCGGAGTTGTTGTGATGTCACTGGGTGGAGAAATGAAGGCACAGTGGGAAGGCATCACCCTTTCAGTATCATCTGCTGCCTCTGCTGCTTTTTATAAGGTATCCATAATTTTAATTTACGTTTGTTTTTTGTCAGGCTATTTTTAAATTGGGAAACTTCTATCGTCTTGGACACCATTAAGTTCACTTGTCTGAACGCTGA